CAATTGGGCCTTAGTGAGAGTTAGAAAGTAACTGGTGGGTTAATTTGCCTCTTCAAGGACTTGGGGAGCTTTTAAGAAGGGGAGTGACATGATCAGATTTGGGGTTTAGGAGGATCCTCTGGCTGCCTGAAGGTGTATTGAGTGGGGTTGCTATCCTGGAGTGTGGGGAAGCAGAGGTAATGGAGGCCAGGCTCATTCCTGAAACGCTTATTAAATCTAAAATAGCGTTTCCTTCCCTTCAAGATCCTGACATATCGCTAAATGTCAAGATGTGCTGGGCTGGCTCTGCTGCCACCTTGTCCGTCCCTGAACCATCAGGAGTACCAGCTGATCCTGGAAGTCCGTGGGCAGGGAGCGTGTTCAGAGGAGAAGAGTTTCCCCGCCCCGCTCCCCACCCAGGGCTGAGAATCCACAGCAGGATTTTGTGCAGTTGCTGAGCTGGGCGGCAGGCTGTATGATCCCCCAGTGCCAGAGAGGCCAGACATTCTCCTGGCATGACCTCACGAGGAGACACAGTCTCAGCCAGGCAAAGGGAGGTCCCATTGCGTGAGAAGGAGACAGAGGCAGGAACAAATAATCACTAGGTTGCACTAACTGTGCTCTATACTGCAGCCTTGGGACCAGGAACCTGTGAAAAACAGGCAAAACTGTTCCTTTGCACCTTGTTTGGGATAATTCATTGGCCAATAGCTGCAGACGCACCACTATCATGGCCAGAGGGAACTTCTCAGGCATTTATTCACCTGTGCATGAAGCACCTTCCAGGACTTAGCTCTCTTCAGGTAAACCATGAACAGCAATACACAGGCACAGGTTATTCTCTGGGCTGCGTTCCTGCCACAGGGTGTAGACAGAAGCCCCCTCAGGCTGAAGAGGGGAGGATCGGTACTGCTCAACCTGTTCCTCCAGGTATATATGTGATGAGGGTTCCAACTTCTTGCTTTCTTTTCCTAGCACCTGCTCCCTCCTTCCTTCCTTCCGCAGACATTGGCTGGGTGTCTAGTGTCCCAGGTGTTGTGCAAGGGTACTGGGGAATCCAGTGGTGAAGAAAACAGACATAGAGACAGAGACAGTGACTATTAACAAATAAACACAGATATGATATTCTATCCCAAATCACGATCAATGCTTCTGAGATGGTTTATTCTCTTTTTAAAAATTTGTGGTACAATATAAGTAACACAAAACTTCCCATTCTAACCATTTTTAAGTATATTGTTCAGTTCAGCATTAAGTATGTTCACACTGTTGTGCAACCATCACCACCATCCATTTCCATAATTTTTTCATCTTCCCAAATTGAAACTCTGTCCTCCCTACCAGCCCCTGGCAACCACCCTTCTATTTTATCTCTATGAGTTTGATGACTCTAGGGACCTCATATAAATGGAATCACACAATATTTGTCCTTTTACTTATCATGTTTTTGAGGTTCATCCATGCTGTAGCATATATCAGTCTTTTTAATGGGTGAATAATATTCCACTGCATGGATAAGCTACATTTTATTTATCTATTCTTCTGTCAGTAAACATTTGGTTTGTTTCTACTTTTTGGCTACTGTGAATAATGCTGCTATAATCATGGGTGAACAAATACCTATTTAAGTCCCTGTTGGTTTATAGCCCTACAAAAATCTACTGTGTCCATTAAAAAATCTGCTATATGGTGTCTGACACTGTGCTAAACGCTTTACACATATTATCTCCCTTTAATCTTTACAGCAACCTTTATAAATTAGGTATGATCCTCCTTATCGTCCTCTTTTTATCCTGAGGAAACTGAGTCTCAGAGGTTAAACAGAGGTCACTCTGCTGGCAAGTGCCAGAGGCAGTATCTAAATCTGGGCTTTGTCTCTGCTGCCCCATCACACCCCAGCCTTGACCCCTCAACGTGTTCAGGTTGCCTGGCCACAGGGTCCCTCTGACCCTCTGTCTCCGTCCTTTGTGTCTCCTGAGCTGACTTTAATTAGAATTGCAGTAGATTTTTCAGCTGTAGAATCATCTGCATATAGCTGTTTTATAGATTATAAACAGCAGTCATTTCAGAAGGCTTCCAGAATAATGCCATCATGGTTCTGCTGTGCCCTTCATCAGCGGGGATAACCCTGCTACATCAGGTGTCTGATGGCTCATTCACCAAACTCTGACTGAGTAACTTGGCTATGAGTTGGGGGAATCAATACAATGGCATATTAGTCAGCTGAGAAAAGGAACGAAACACTCATGCTTGCTACGACATGAATGGATCTCGGAAACATGATACTAAATGAAAGAATCCTGTCGCAAAAGACCACGTATTATATGATTCTAATTATATGAAATGTCCAGAAAAAGCAAAACCATAGAGATAGAAAGTAGATTAGTGGTTGCCTAGGGCTGGGTTCAGGGAAATGGGGAGTAACTGCCAATGGGTTTGAGGTTTCTTTTGCGGGTGATAAAACGTTTTGGAATTAGATATTGGTGATGGTTGCTTAACTTTGTGAATGTACTAAAACCCAATTGTACACTTTAAAAGGGTACATTTTATGGCATGAGAATTACATCTCAATTGAAAAAGAAGAGTTGGAAGAGCTAGAGAATTGATATCTGTCTGTTTTGGGGTTTCTCAGGCTGGCAGGGAGAAGCTGGGGGGTGGACAAGGAAGGATCCTGAGGTGGCCACACAGTGCCTTGAATCCGGCATGTAGCATGAAGAGGGAAGGTGGTGTACATTAGTATGGTTTGGATGTTCTTTCCACATTGTGGTGGAAGGTTTGGGATACTGGTTCCAGATTCCTTTGAATTTGCATGAGGAAGAGCAGGAAGGAAGGAGGGAGAGGGGGAGGGAGCAGCTGTCAAGTGATTAGCAGAAATAGCTTTCCTGTACTTTATAGAATCTCACTTTTTTTTTAAAATTTAAATTTATTTAACAAATGCTTATGTAGAACGAACCATGTGCCAGGCTCTGCTCTCAGCACTTTACCAAAACAGACTCCTTTATTCACTGCCCGACCCCCAACTCAGCAAGGTAGTTACTTTTCTTATTCTCTTTTTAACAAATGAATGAATTAAGGAACTGAGAGCTTGTTCAGAGGCAGAGCAGAGATTTGAACCCAAGCCCCAGAGTCCATGCCCTTAACGGCTATGCTATGCTGTCATTCACTCATTCATCATATATTTGTCTACTGAGTATCAGCTCTGTGCTAGGAATTTTGCAAAGTACTCGGGATTCGTAGGTGAACAAACCTACTATAGTGGTGAGGGGGGCTGATGACGTCTTACTTCAGCAGTTGTGACACACAAAGAAAGGAAACAGGTACAAGTGAGGGCTCATCAGGAGGGTCTATGATTACTCCACCTTACCGATGGGCCTGCAGGGGGAGAGGGGATGTGCTGTGCTCAAGGCTACACAGCCTAGCTAGGAATCCAGGGCTATCTAACTCCAACTCCCCACCTCCACATGTTAAGTGTGTCGAAGTGGATTTTTGCAGGATGGAGGGTGTATAGGAGGCAATCCTTGGAAGTTTCTATCATCCTCTGCCTGCCCCAGCCTTGGCCTTGCATGGGCAGATTCTGGGCCTTGGACCAGCTCCCTTTCTAAGCCATCAGGCTTGGGTGTCCCTTTCCAGGCACCTGGCAGAAGGGCTGTAACTGAATCCTTCTGCTGCCTTGTGTCCCTTACAAGGCCAAACCATGTGTTTACTCAACAAGGAGAAGCTCAGGCTTGATTTGTGGGGACAGCAGTCAGCAACTGAGGCTCTTAGGCAGGGACAAAACTAGTCAGGTATGAGCCACTCTCCACACAGGGAGAGCCCTGTGAACTCTGATCCTGTAAGACCCTGTGACTGTGCCGAAGGCAAAGGGCTTCCAATTTGTGGGTGTAGGCCAGCGGGATTCAGCATTCACTGACCACAGATACTTGTGTTATATATAGCCAATGTCCTCCCAGAGGCAGAGCAAGGCAGTTCAGGGCTGGGGTCTGGGTCAGCCTGGCCTGGCTCCAACCCTGCCACCTACTGGCCTTATGATGTCTTCCCAAGCCTCAACTTGCTCATCTGTAAAATGGGGAAAAAACTCATTCTCATCTTATCAAGGTGTTGTGAGGTTGAAATGATGTAGTTAGTATTCTGTAAGTGTCAGTAACAAGTGCCAAACATGAGACCTCACAGCCTAGGGAATCTCCAGCTGACAGTCCTCTGACACTGGAGAACTGGCATGGGGATGGACTTATTTTGAGGCCTCCACTTTCTAGTTGGAACTTCAGCTCTGGGGCCCCCCAATGCCTGGGGTGGATCCGTCATTGGAGCAGCCACTGTTTACTTGAAGAAGTCAGCAACTTCCCTTGCACAATAACAGAAAGTTCTGTCTATTGCTGACCTGTTTCCCCACTGTTATCTGAGGGGTCCAGACGGGGCTCTTCTAACAAGAGATTTGTTACCACAGGAAGTCGGCCAGTGAAGCTTAGTGACCTCAGCTGGCTGCATGTGCTAACGTCATGGCCTGCCATTCTCTCCATGGACACCTTTCTTGTGGTTATTTGGGACTTTGGCAAGTTTGTATTATTTCTGTCTCTGCTTGTTGGCATTTCTTTATGAGACCCTAGTGTATGCCCAGAACTGAGATTGATGCTGGTGTGAAGTCAGTGCTGCGGGAAAGCACGCAGCCCAGGCCTTCGGCACGCTATGTACAAGCAAGTACATGATTAAAAGATGCCATAAGTGCTAGCAAGGAAATGAATGGGCTAAAGGACATAGAACAGGGGAGGAGGCAGCCTTGCAGGGGAGGATGTCCCAGAAAGAGGGGCCAGCAGGGACAGGCAAGTCCCTGAAGCCTAGTGTCTCTTCAACTCCCTGATACAGGTCTCCTACCTGTCTGGGGGGCCCAGTGACACCTGTTCCCTCCTCCTTCACTGTCAAGTGAATTGATCAGTGTTCCAAGCAGAGGAATTAGCCAGTGCAAAGGCCCTGGGCAGGAACAAGCTTGGTGGGTAGATTTCCTGTTTCCTGTGGCTGACATAACAATGTACCTACTACAAACTGGAGGGCTTCGACAGCAGAAGCCTGAGATCAAGGTGCTGGCAGGGTTGGCTCCTTCTGAGGGCTGGGAGGTACAAGCTGTTCCAGGCCTCACTCCCAGTTCTGGTATTGCTGATAATCCTCGGTGTTCCTTGGCTTGTAGAGAAATCACCCGAATCAATGCCTTCATCTTCATGTGGCATTACCTCTGTGTGCATGTCTGTGTCCAAATAGCCCTTTTTATAAGGATGCTAGTCAGATTGAATTAGGGGCCCACCCCACCCCAATGTGTCCTCATCTTAACTAACTATATTTGCAACAACCCTGTTTGCGACTAAGAGGTCCTAGAGGGTTAAGATTTCAACACATGAGTTTTATTGGAGAGTGGGTGAGCACGATTCAACTCATAAGTGTGTTCTAGAAACAGCGAGGCTGGCGTGGCTGGAGCAGAGTGAAGGAGTCTGGAGTGGGATGCGGGCTGGTGGGACAGGTCACCCAAGGCTTGGTGGGCCACAGTTCAGACGGTGGGATTTGTTCTGGGCATCTAGGCTTGTTCTGAGCATGTCGTTTTATCTGGGGAGCAGGAGAGAGACTGAAGAATAGTTAGAGAAAGTGGAGAAACTCGGGGCCCGTGTGGCCACTGTCTGACAAGAGTCGAAGGACTGAGGGTAGGGGAAGGAAAAATCGTGGCCACACGGCCCCAAAGGACAATGCCTGGCTTGGTTTCCGAGATGCTCAGGAGAAGGAGCCCAGCAGCTGAGTGAAGGGTTGCTGAGTGAGTGGGGGGCTGGGCCTGCCTAGGATTCAAACCCAGATTCACCATTTTGCACTGTGTCCTTAGGTAAATTACTTAGCTTCTCTGGGCCCAGGTTTCCTCATTGTCAAATGAGGATGCCATTCAGTGGATTAAATGGAAGAAAGCACATAACTGCGGGAGAAGATTTAAGGCTTGCTTCATGCCAACTGCTTTGAGACACACTCTGGTGACATCTTTACCACTACTTCATTTTATGGATGAGGAAACAGAGGCCCAGAGAGGGCAAGTGACTTGCCCAAGGTCACACAGTGAGAAAATAGCAGAGACTTGAACTGAGCCTGACTGATTCTGAAACACGCACCTTTCCCTCCTTGTACTTTCAAAAAATGTCAGTTTCTGCCTGCTCATCATGGAGGTGAGGCCCAGCAGGCTCCTTTGGCTCCCTGGCGCATTTGATGCCAGCAGAGTGTTCCCAAAGGGCTAGGAAGCAGTTGTATTCCGTTCTTACAAACCTATGCTGTGCCACCATCTGAGTCCTGTTGCCTGGAGAAGAAAAATGTTGGGTGAGATAGCTCTACATGAAATATTCAACCTGGTTTCATCATCTGCGAGACAAGCATGGTATACACCCATTTTCCAGATAATGAAACAGGCTGAGAGAAAGGAAGGGGCTTGCCTTTCTGCTGGAAGGAGGTGGAGCTGGCCTTCAAACCAGGAGGCCTGACCCCACCCAGACTTTCACCCACTTTGCAGCCGCTCACTCCTTAATGGAGAAATGCCTTTGAAAGAAAGTTCAAGGGGGCCTCCCTTGCCAGCCCCCTGGGGCATAAGCACTCCTTATTCTAACCCTGGTGTGTTTGTACAAAGCTACCAGCTTTGACATATGGCAGGAGACAGCCCAGTCCCCCTGACCCTGGCAGAGGACATGCTGGGTTGGTCTTGTGGGGCCTGGGATGACACCAAGGGCATCAGGCGGGGTTCCATTTCTTCTTTCTCCCTCCCCTGCAGCCTGAACTGGGTGGGTGCTGCCTCTCAGCTGGGCGGGATGGGGGAGGAGGTATGTGTCCTCAGATGCCTGCACTATTTTTGGAGCTCGCTTTGATCCTGATTCCCGGGGCATGTGGGCTGTGACAGGCACTTGGAGCAGACCCTGCTTGAATGCCGCCAGCTACGGATGCCGGCACGCCCCCTAGTGGCTCCGACCCTGGCACTTCTGAAACTGGGCACGGACTCTCGCTCTCCAATCTGGAGGCCTTTTCTTTCTTTTACTTGCCTGTCTGCTAGGACCTGCAGGATGTTGAACAGGAGTGGCCAGAGCAGACATTCTTGCCTTGTTCCTGATCTGAGCGAGAGAGCATTCAGTCTCTCACTGAGTCAGAGGTTCGCTGTGATTTTCTGTAGATGCCCTTCATCCGAGTGAGGAAGTTCCCTTTTATTCCTTTTTGTTGAGTGTTTTTACCATGAAGAGCTGTTGGATTTCGTTCAACTTTTTTTTTTCTCCTGAAAGATGTCTTTGAAAATGTCCCAAGCAAGGAGCCTTCCGAAACCTTGCGCCTGCGCTGTCCTGAGGCGAGGCTGCGGCCCCCGGCGTTGTTTTGCGCATGCGACGCCAGCGAGGGCCGCACTTCCGGCGAGGTAGCTCCATGATGGCGTCTGCCTTCGGTTAAATCTCTCGTCATCCTGCGTGTTCCAGCGTCGCGTGGGCTCCCGTACGACGCCCTGCCCAACCGACCCAGGTTCTAATCCATCACGCCAGACCACTGGCATGGACTTACGACATCGTTGCCCTGAGGCCCCAGTCGTGTTTGGACGCAACTCTTCCGGTAGGCCCCAAGTGCAAGGGTGACCGGGTGCCTTCTTCCCTCAGGACCTCGTAGCATTTATATTTTCAGTCCCGAAGTCGCGCCCCGTGCAGGTCCACCTAAGTCTCAGAGGCTCACGGGAGACTGAGTCAGGTCTGCAACTCCTCAGATTGTCGATGTTGTTATTGTTGGGAAAGATGAAAAAGGCAGAGACACCCCAGAATATCTAATCCATTTTAATGGTTGGAACAGGAGCTGGGATAGACGCGCAGCTGAAGATCATGTCCTCCATGACACCGATGAAAATCAGAGATTGCAGTGTAAATCGGCAAAAAAAGCTGTAGCTCCCCTGAGAATCACAGGAAGAAAGAGGAAGCGAAGCGCCACAGGTTGCCTGGTGTTGACTTTATCTTAAAAAGCCTTCCCACTGAAGAAAAATATGAAAATGAGAACTCAATAAGCACTTTTTCTGATGACAGTGGTGAAGGAAAGGATGGAGCAATATCTGAAGAAAATGATATTGAAGAAAGACTGAAATGAAGGAAGAACCAGAGCTGCACACAAAAAGAGAGATGGAAGAAAGAATAATAACTATAGACATCCCGGAAGTTCTGAAGAAGAAACTCGAGGATGATTGTTATTATATCAACAGGAGGAAACGGTTAGTGAAACTTCCATGCCAGACCAACATCATAACTATTTTGGAATCCTATGTGAAGCATTTTGCTATCAATGCAGCCTTTTCAGCCAGTGAGAGGCCTTATCATCATGCTGTGTCACACACCAACATGAATGTGCATTGCATCCCAGCAGAAAAGAATGTTGACCTTTGTAAGGAGATGGTGGATGGATTAAGAATAACCTTTGATTACACTCTCCCATTGGTTTTGCTCTATCCATATGAACAAGCTCAGTATAAAAAGGTGACTTCGTCCAAGTTTTTTCTTCCGATTAAGGAAAGTGCCATAAACACTAATAGGAACCAGGAGGGACTCTCTCTAAGTCCACCTTCGTTGAATCGGTTCACCCCACAGTCCACGGAGAGTCGGTGTGAGCTTGCTGCTCCCAAAAGGCGCAAAGCTGAGCCAGAAGCCTTGCAGTCTCTGAGGCGGTCCAGGCGCCACTCTGCCAACTGCGATAAGCTGTCTGAGAGCAGTGCCTCGCCTCAGCCCAAGCACCAGCAGCAGGACGTGTCCACCAGCATGCCCAAGCTGTTCCTGCACCTAGAAAAGAAGACGCCTGTGCATAGCAGACCATCCTCGCCTGTTCCTCTGACCCCAAGCAAGGAAGGCAGTGGGGTGTTTGCCATCTGTGAAGGCAGAACTAATGAAATAAATGAGGTCCTCTCCTGGGAACTCGTACCCAACAGTTACCCACTAGGTGACCAGTCTCTTCCACCTTCCTACATTTATGGGGCACAACACTTGCTGAGATTGTTTGTGAAACTTCCAGAAATCCTGGTCAAGATGTCCTTTTCGGAGAAGAATCTGAAGGCTTTACTGAAGCACTTTGACCTCTTTCTGAGGTTTTTAGAAGAGTACCACGACAACTTCTTCCCAGAGTCTGCCTATGTCACCGCCTGTGAGGCATACAACAGCATTAAGAATCCCAGGGCAATTTATTAAATTTTCGATGGCTCTGAAAGAACAGCTTCTCCGTCTAGCTTTGCACTCTAGGTTCCCAGTGGAGAGTTCTGGGGAGATGGTGGGCCTTCAGGCCCAGCAGTTGCGATGCCCACCTGGTTGGGAGGAGGCTGGCAGAGGCAAGACTTACGTACTGTAGTTATTTCTGTTAAGGAGCGCTTCCTTGGTGCCTGACTGGCCTTCAGTATCTGACCCTAGCCACTATCCATGTCATCTGTGACAGCAGGAAGAGCATCTGTGTTGCCTGTGAAATATTCATGGAAGTGTACATAGGTTAGGCTGTTTCAGTAGATTTGGAGTTGTTAGCAATAACCACATATTTTAGTTATTTGTTAACACTAAGCAAAATTGTTTTGCAAACTTTTCATTTTTATGATGAGACTAAGCAACTCAGTACAACAAATTTCAATATTGCTTGGAAAATGCAAAGTAGTCCCAAAATATTTTAGAATTGATTTTGATGGTGAAAGAAAATTGCAGCTATACATTTGCCTGTTTTAGTTCCTTTTCTGTAAAACTTTATTTTTGGTGATCTAAAAAAAGTGTTGCCTAACTTGTTTGAGATTTTACAGTTATACTTTGTTGTTTAATGTTATGTTTCCCATTCTGTCAAACGTTATTTTTGGTAATTTAAATAAAGCAAAGGCCCTATTGTTGGAAATAAAAATAAAAAAAAAATAAAATGCGCCCAGGCAAGCCCACTGTTTCTTCCGAGGGCAAAGCTCGATGTAAAGCAAAAAGCGGTCTGCGCAGGCGCTTCGGTGTCACTGCTTTAAAGGGGGCGTTAAATGACGGTAAAACAGCAGTGGTCACTGCTCTTCTCATGGGCGGGGAATGCTCTTCTGGCTCGCCATACCCATCTGACAAAAGGGACCACAGCCCAGCCGGGGCAGGAGGAGGGCTGTGCTTAGTGGACCTTGGCCGCTGGGGTCCCCCTCCTCGAGCTCACTCCCTTTCCACCCAGGCCTACGAGAAGCGCTTCCCCACCTGCCCACAGATCCCCGTCTTCCTGGGCAGCGAGGTCCTGCGAGAGTCCCACAGCGCTGACGGCTCCGTGCACATGGTGGAGCGGAGCTGCCGGCTGCGCGTGGAGGCCCCGAGGCTGCTGCGGAAGGTGGGCGCTCAGAGGGCCCAGGGGAGCGGGGCAGCGGCCAAGGGGACTAGACAGGGTGGTGGGGGTTGGCAGGGTAGGGGACTTGGGGACCAGGGGCAGGGCCAGGCGGTGGGGCTAGTGTTGGTGCTGAGAGGGGGCTTCTGTGGTGGGGGGCGGTGAGCTCTGGGTCCTGGAGGAATGGGGCGGGGCGGGAGACTGGACTGGGACTGGGTAGGGCCTAGGGGGACTAATGCCCAGCGGAGATTGAGGGGAGTGGTATTGGAAGGGGGATGGAGTAGGGGATCCGGGCCCAGGCAGGTGGCCAGGCACAGGATCCAGGTCCCAGGATCGAGGGTGACCAGGACTAGCCCTCGGGGTTTGCGACCCCAGCTCCCTCGCCCCCTGTACCCCCCTGCTGCCCCTTTCCTTGCAGATCGCAGGCGTGGAGCACGTGGTCTTCGTGCAGAGAAACATCTTGAACTGGAAAGAGAGAACACTCCGCATCGAAGCGCACAATGAGACCTTTGCTAGCCGTGTGGTGGTCAAGGAGAACTGCAGTTACACGGTGAGCGCAGGCTGGCCTCCCCACTGCCTCGGCCACCGACCC